GAATTATTAATAACGAATCAGACATTATTGATACATGTACAGGAAGATACTGAGAAAAAACGAGTCCAAAATTGAATGAATTAAATAAATTGTACATTCAATTGTCTTTCCACTCAGCAGTCTGCCTAACACCGACTATTACGGACTAGTAATGAATTGATTATAAGGGCACAGATATGCCATTTAACAGCACCGAAATATTAAAGAAACATTGTTATAGATGTTGTACGCCTGAAGGTTTCACAACAAGGTTAACGAAATATTAAAGAAGTGTTGAAATAGATGTGTTACTCCTGAAGAAGACTGTTTTACTGAAAAAAGCCAATTTTTTTTAGTATTGTTAATTTAGAATTAGTTATAATGTTGCTAAAAAAAGTATAAGCTCCTGACATATGTAATTTAAACATATTTTCAAATATTTTTCAATATTTATATATTTAGGTCAAGATGATTCTTTGGTTTTAGAAATGATGAGATCTATTTGGTAGTCTATTTATTATCTATTTTGTAGTTATGGTTGTTTTGATAATATGATTTTGATAATGATTTACAGGATGTTAAAAATAATTCTACTCTATGAAATATGGGATCAGAAAAACTATTATACAGTTTTTAACCCATTCAATTCTCGTAACTTTTAATTTGATACTTATAAATCTTGCTTATTGATATACTAATACTTTGTTATTATATAAGCAACCCAAACAGTTTTTAAGTTATGTTTTTTAATTTTAAAATCTCCACAACTGTGATACAGTACTGTACACTACAAGCCGCTTTCCTAATGAAACGAGATGGCAACTAAATCAATTCCAAACTATTACTGAAAACCAATTTAGCTGCAATAAATACATAACAACTACAACAACAAAGAAGAACCAAAGTTGTTAAGTCTATTTGCCAAACCCTATTTTCTACAACAAATATGCAATTAAGTTGGTCCAGCATCATGGAGGTCTGTTGAACTTTGTCCCAAGTAGAATAAGAGAGTAGAAAAAAAATTACCATACCGAGGCTAAGCACAAGATGCATGCATCCAGGAGATGAAGATGACAGTACAGTGAATGTTGCAGGCAAAATAACAACAATCACAACAACAATTGTAGCAACATGCAATTAATACAATTTCAAATAGAGTAGTGATTGCAATTAATCTTCATTAAAGTCATGGGCTTGGACATAATAGAATTAAAGCCTATTAGCTTTTGTTAACAATATCAATTAAAGTTTTTATTCTATTATATTTAAAAAAATATATAAATGAAAAGTATTTTGTAAAGCAAAATTAATGTAGCAAGAGTGTGGAGCAAATAATATTTTATTTATTTATTTAATCAAAAGGAGTAAATTCTTTTAATTTCTGTTCAATCACAAGTTGCTGACTGCTTGGATTGTCGCTTTTATAGCATTTGGTCAGATAACATTTGCAGAACCAAATGTGAACTTAACATATTCCATGTTGCCTCAACTGTTGCAGTTGCTGCTGATATTGCTGTTGCTGCTGTTGCTGCTGTTGTTGCCGTGGCCGTGGCTATAGCTGTAGTTGTGATTGCAAGTCTAACAATAAAATCAACACCATCAAGAGCAGAACAGTACCAATCACCTTAATTAAACATTAGTAACTGAACGTTGGAAATTGGTGCCAACGGCTCGAATCGACTAATCGAGCAATAAGCAATGAAATTTTCTGCGGTGGTCCATGTCAACGATTTCCGCTTCTTTGAGTGCGCAAAAGGTTATTGTCACATTCTGTGAAATCTATTTTTTCCTTTAATTTTTTCACGGTTTTATTTTACTTTATAGTTGCTGCCATGTTTTTTTATGTGGCAATAATAGTAAATATACGGTGATTGCTGTTGCCGCAAAGGTGTTGCAATGATATCGGCAATGTCAAGTGTGCAGTTGTAATGAATAGTTGATGATGATTGAGGAGAAATAGTAAAAAAAGCTGCACATAACAAGATCACCCAAGACGTCGAAGATGAGAAACTAAGAAAATTTACTGCAATTTATTTTTCTCAAATCAACAAAAAGAATGTAATCTAGAAAGAACATAAAAATTATGTCTTTTATGTGTCACTGATTTAAAGGAAGTGGACAGAATTATGTCAATTCAATTTGAGTAAAATGCAAAAAAATAACAACCAACAAAGATATTAATTTAAAATATATGTGCATATAAATTTTTGGGTTATGATTTTTTCATGCTTATAGATTAAAAACTACAATTTAATAAAAATATTTAATGGTTTTTAACTCCACTTAATTACTTTTTTTTTGCACAGCATATAGATAAGAAATTATTTCATTTTAATTATATAGGAGACCTTCTACTAACGTATAACATAATAAGGCGTATAACATAATAAGTACATATAAGAATGATACAACAGTTTCCAACAGCTTGGGTTCATCCAATTATATGAACCCAAGTGTATAAATATAATATCATTTCATTTTAACAGGCACATTTGCGAATGATATAGCAGTTCTATGCGTTGAAAAGAGCCTGAGCAAGACATCTGCAGAACTATGTTGTATATATAATAATATGATAATAGTGGATGAAAGACTCGCAAATTAAACGAAATGAACCGAAGTCCCTTTAGATCACATTTACTGCTAGACGATTAAGCTGTTCACATGTGTCATTCAGTTCAGTTGTATGCATACTCTGGAATTCACATTGATAGTAAATTGATCTGGAGAATTAACATTCTCAACAAAAGCGCTTTTTTGGAGCCCGAATTACGAAATTTATTTTGGTTCCTCTGTCGTAATACTAAATTAATGTTTAAGAACAAGCTCTTGATTTATAATAGTGTATTGAAACCCATCTGGAGCTATAGGAAAGCGTGCTCAATTCGAATACGCAATCATCAAAATATTTCAATCAAAATTAAAATCCTACATAGTAAGAAAATGCAGTTTGATATATTACCAATGAACAGTTACACAAACAGCGAGCTACGAATCCCAAAAATTAAGGACGAAGCGCCTTTGATTGCAAAGAAATATGCAAATCGAATATAAATTTATCCACACCCACAAGCTATGGACCTAATATTACATTTGAACGACTTCGTAGGACTAAGAAGAAAAACTTAAATGGATATTCATGTAATAAATAATTAATTCACACCATTGCACTTAAATATTATATATATATATATGGTTTAAGGTTAAAGTACAAGGCTTTTATATAGCTTATTAAATTTTATTAGAAATCAACTGTCAATATTTAATATTTGTGATAGTACTATTATGTCTTATACGAATATATACTTTCGAAGTAGTACCACATCGGAGTAGTATTCCGATCTACAATTAAGATAAATCTGCAAATAAGGATAGTTTTTATATCCAAAATGCTTTGAATTGAGATTATTCTATAAAAGCAAATTATTGTTGATTGTCCGCTTCTTGTGACTTGATCCTCAATGTCATCACAGGTTATATTGTGGAATATTTGCAACTATATCAAATAACCAAAATTATTGCGTTTAAATTATAGTTCAGTTGCCGATTACTTGTCTTATCGACTTTTTTAATTGAAAATTGAAACCAAAGCAGAGGAAAATCAAATTTTTCTAAATTGTTTGAAAATAATTTTTGGATAAGATAATTGCCATACGTCAAATCTGTTTTGCTATTCGGTTTTGGCTTGCTAGCGGTCACTATAAGAGAGAAGGGAATGTCCAGGAGATTGCTATGATTTCTGCTTAACTATAAATACAGATAAATATAGGTCTGAAGAATATTAAGTGAACACTAACCTAAATGTAGTAAACTTTTGATTCGAGGATAGTAGAACAAATATTCAGGGCATATAAGAATCTGGTGATGGGGCAATAAAAATCACTGTATTGACTCACAGATTTTTTGTAAGATCTCTCTGAAGTAACATAGTATACCTATTATTATAAAATGAAAGATAAGAAGTTGAAGTATAGTATTTTATAACTTATTATTCAACTTTATAAAGTGCTTCAAGTAATAAAAGTAAATCATATCGATTGAAAAAGTACATCAAAAATTCACTTTTGGAATGCCGCCTATAACGCGGTAAATTGGTTCCGCGTTATAGGAAAGCGGTATTCCCGAAAACTCCGTATACATACATGTAAGGGTACGCGAAGCTAATTATGAACTGTACAAATCATTGCGTTACATGGGGGAATGCTCGTGTTATACGGGGAATTGAAATCGTGTAATAAGAAACCGCGTTATAAGGATACCGCGTTATAGGGAGGATTACTATACTTATTTCATGCGTTCATCGAAATTGAAATCCATATATTTTGAAAGTAAATATATTAGTTTGTTTTTTTGTCGAATAAGACGTGTCGCTTATTGCGAAAAGAAAACTAAAAGGGTGCAAACAATAATGAAAAAAGAACAACAAAAATTTGATCAATTTATTTAAATTTGGCTGACCATATAACACTGTTTTGAGTATTGCTAACTACTCATTATCACTGATCTTAGGAAGTATTCGAATTTTTATTTATTTAGTTTATAGTTAGTATATAATTTTGTTTAAACTGCAAGTGCTATGCTTATTTACTGCAATGTGAATATGGGAATAATAAGAATAAAGAATTGGATTCAAACAAATTTTCATAAACGAAATTAGTTGTTGCCAAGACAGTTGTTTTAGTGTTTCATATATAAAAAATTAAATTATGATATATATCTTCAGCTCCTTCTGTCTTTACAGGGCAGTGGACCTTAGAACATCAAGGAGCTAAGTTTGGCCTACACTGTAGTGTCTACCAGCTCTCGAAGAAAGAACACTAGAACATCTGCTATGTCATGTCCAGAATTGGCTAGAAGTAGGCTTAAGTTTCTGGCGGCCCCCTTCATTAATACATTCGACGATATCTCCAACATTAGCATTGGCTAGACTATTGCTTTTACTAATGCCTGTGGCTGGTTCTAGTTTAATCTCTTCTTTTCTACCCCTTATTACGAGGATTTGTGGATTTAGAACGTCTTTCTTAGCTAAGTGAGGGGGATTCATTCTTTCCTTCACCACAACTTACTAAGTAACTATCTTTAGATTTAACGATTATAATATAAAAATAAAATATATAGTTTGTTTTCTAAATCGATTAGATTTATTACAACTAGAAACAGTAAAGAAATATACATAATTAATTTATTGAAATCCTTTTTTTTTCAATTTTGGAAAATTACAAATATCGAATTTCAGACTTGGTCGCCTGGGGAGTGTGAAGCATGTGAACAATTTATTAGCGAAATTACGCAAAACTCAATTAAATGTTGCCTACGAATTCGATAAGTGACCATAAAAATTAGATACTTATTTACTTTAAATTTTATTTAATTTAAAATACATAAAAATTAAATAAAATTTATGAAGGCTTTCAATTGATAAATCAGTAAATTAAAATGTGTCTCCTTAAATTACTCAAGATAATTATACGACATACGCACAAAATGGACCTGATCTCAAACGATTTATAGTCTCCGATAATTCGGCAAACTTTTGGTTTTGCCTACTCAGACTGTGTGTTTTAATTTTAGTTTTAAGTAGGATCTTGTAAAAATGATGTAAATAAAAACTGAAAATTATTCATTTTTAATTCGGATTCTTGTTTACCAAATCCGCGCAAACTTAAGTGGACTGGTCATTTTTGGGTTCGATTGACTGTCGATTATTGTCGATTGTGCAAGTGGAGTTTTGGTAGATAAAAAGGAAAACCGAGACAGATTCGCTGCAATTTATCGCCCAGGTTTTTTGTTATTAAATTAATATATAATTTAATTTAGTATAAAGTTTTTATTAAAAGCCAGTATTTTGATTAAGTGGCGTTTGCTGTAATCAACATTCACACTTTATTTGCCATAATTATTAATTAATCCGAGCGTTCTGTGGACTTTATCTTGCACGGTCTTGTTGCATTCAATTAGAGACATTTTTATAAAATTTCTGAAAATACTGAGTGTAGCTGATAATAACAGCCAGAATCCACTTTTTATAGCGCGGTGTTTGAAATGTTTTTAGTATTTATTATGACATTCTGTTTGCGTTGATTTATATAATTTACTAGATTTTTAATTTATATTTATGCACATTTTTATTAGCGTCTAGACGGCATATGCCAGTGCTTTGTGGCTAATCATTCTAATCAATTTTATTTTTTAATATATATACTATATTTTTAAACTTATACATGATACATTATTTGCAATTGTAATATGATAATAATTTTATATTTTTAAATTAATTATATTGTGTTATATTTTAGCATATTGCTGAACAAGTTTTGGAAAAAACTGCATGGTGTCTTAAACTCACCTGAGCCATTGCTGCCAAACCACAAGGCAACTAGATCCTCACTTGGCGATGAATGATAATGATTTCCGTACAAATATGGACTAGGATAATCAAGGAGCATACGACGTGAAGAGGGTGAGTCAGCTGCAAATTAAAAATAAAATTAATTTTATTAGTTCAACTTTATAAATTTTAAGATAAATGCATATAAAAAGTGACTATTACTTTTACTATACTATTATTTATCTACTATTACTATTATCCAATTGTATTACTAAACTATTTAGAAAAGAAAAGGATTAAAAAGTTCGATCCTGTCGGTCGTTTTGGGAAATTTTGTGAGAAATAATTATCTATAGGACTATAAGTTTTGACATTAAAAATGTTTACCTATATACTAGTTTTTAATGTTGTGTTTAGATTATTGTATATATTCATCAATCTTTTTTCATACAGAAGTTATAAAGAGATCATTTCAAAAAACCAAAAAAACTTTAGCATGAAAGTTTTTTTTTTGTTTTTTTTTGTTGTTTTTTTAACAAATTTACTTGCTGTATATACATTAGAACCAAATCATAAACCAGCTTAAATTTCAATACTATTATTGAAAATACTGTTTGTAGAGGCATTATTTGTAGCATGATTTGTCCTTTTTTATGTATACAGAAGTTATATAAAATCCATATTAAAATATGATAAAGAGGTTGGATAACTCTTAGTACAAACATAGTAAGTGTCTAAGTGGAAACACAGATATTGTTATGGTTAAAAGATCTGTGACCAATGCCAATGCTAAGTGCTCCTTATCTATATAATCTTAAATAGGGTAATCTAGCAGTGTACGTAAAGATTCTGAATATGATGAATAGAATTGCCTAGTTTTTCCTAAACAATTCGAAGTGGTCATCAGTGACTAATCAATGGGGGGAAACGAAATTATCTCAAAACAGGGCTCACACTTATGGTATACTGATGAGTCTAAAATGGGGAGATGGCAGCGCAGGAGCAGGAGCAGGAAATGTAGAAGCAAAAACGGTTTCTATTTTGCAGGCAGAAGTTAATGCTTTAGAGTAATGTGCTGATAATGCCTACACAGGGGCACTCGAGTTATCAAAATATGCATTCTTCCGGACAGCCAGGCAGCTGTAACATCTTTAGCAAACTCTTCATTTCAATCAAAGTTAGTCTGGGAATGCTTTCAACTGAGTGCAGTAAAAAGTTAACTCCGTAAATCATTTGAATTCAATCTTAAAATTTTTTTAACAATATTCATAATTTCTTTAAATGTACTAAAATTATGCTATAAAAAAATATTAAAACTTACTGACTGAAATGAAAATTTGTTTATATTAGATTTGTTAATGACCAAACTTAATTCAAAAATGTCAAAACTGAATATCATTGTAGTGCTTTATGTAAATGATCGACCTTGATGACGGCTGAGTAAATCCCAGCTCTAAACAAACCTCAGAGAAAGATTCATTACACAATCTAAAAAACTATCTCTAATCCTATCTCTAATCTGAAATTGTGCACCTTCATTCAATTAATTAGATTATATTGCAATATAATATAAGTATCGTTTATAAATACGTATCTATTTTTAAATTTATCAAGTTCACTTAAATAAAAAGTCTTGGTTATCTTTCAAATAACCAAGAACTCTTGAAGGAATTTAATATACAGATTTATCTGTATACTTATTCAATTCTAGTATTCAAATATAGTATCAAATATTTCTAGCAACATCTACAACAGAATACTTTATCATTTTATAAAAAATGTAAATATCAAAACGACAATATTAAAAAATAAATAGACAGGTAATTAGATCAAGTAATCAATCAGGTAGCTTTATCTTAATTAAATAGTAGTGCAGACCAATGTATCTGATAAGGTACACCACCAGCAATCTCAGTACTGCCCTGCTGAGAAAACGTAGCTAATTGTAGGTAATAATGATCAGTATAAATGATTATATTCTCACTTTTTAAATCAAGGCTTAACATATATATATAATTTCAAGATCTTTTGTGGTGTTCATATCGGTCAAACTTATAACTATATTATATATTAGAAAATAATGTCGTTTTGAATTTATTATATATTAAAACACCAGCATAATTACCTTGTACTTGTGCAGCGTACTCAGTTGCTTTCTGCAGATTTAACCTGGGTCTGGGTTTTGGGAGAGTTTGTTGTTGTGCAGTATTTGCAGGAATGGAACTACTACTATTACAATTATTAGCAGTAGCTATAGTCTGCTGATTCGCAGAAGATGATGAGTCTAAAAGCAATTGTTGCACTTGCAAGATATCAACGTATTCATCAAGTTCTACAGCAGGTGTAGAACCAGAACGATTGATATTGGCAACAGTGCCACCATTACCAGTAACGATTGCACCACCAACGGAGCTGGTTATAGCCGCTTGTGTTGTTGTTGGATGCGTGTAGTGATGCAAATAAGTGGCACCCGTTGCGTTTGGTGTGTAAAATCCAAATTGTGTTGCTGCGGTTTGCACAGAAATCGGTGGTGGCGGTGGTGGTGGAAATTGCAGAGGACTACGTCCCAAATTCAGTAAAGGCGTCGAAGGTGTATTCAAAGAGTCTTGCTGTGCTCCACCGTTTAGATTTGCCGTAATGCCTAAATTATTTGCGTATTGATTTGAAGCGTTCAAATTGGGCGCTAAGCCGTTCGTATCTGTTGCTGAGGTTGTGTTCGATGCTGTTGCTGCTGCTGCTGTATGATGCTCACTTTCACGACGCATTGCTAACAACATTTTTACGCGCACAATTAAACACAAACAAAATTGAAGCAAAAATAAAATAATAATTTAAAAAGAAATTGTAATAAAACAAAATGAAAATATAAACTGAAAAATTAATTAATTTGAAAAATTTGCACTCCATTTGAGGTTGATGATTTTATCTTGGATATTCAAAAATTAAACTAATTTTAGAGTAGCAATTTTGATTTGCATAATAATTATTATTATTTTTTTTTATTTTTTAAATTTAGCTTCACTAATTTAAATATTTCTCTTTGTTAATTTTGTTTTATTTTAAATCACATAAATTCAGTCTTGAAACACTTTAATTAAAGTTGATTGATTGGGGACATATATCTAAAAATAATAAAAAAAATTAAATTATTTTTTGTTAAATTTTATAAAAAGTAATGGTTAAGTTAGAGTTAGCTTCATTATTTATTAATATAATTATAAATAGTTCAAGTGCTTAAATTAGTGGTATGTCAATTTTTTTTAATAACAGCTGACATTTTCGGATCATTGACTTTAAATATATTTACTGAAAATGTTCAAAAACTCAAATTTTGTTGGATATATTAATAGTCAATAGAATAGCTATATAAGGACATTTTTGAATTTAATTTTAAAATAATATGCATGATACACGCAATATAAATATAAAATTTATTTTAATTATTACGTAATTAATTATTTTATTATTACTTACTTAATTATTATAAGTAGTTCAAAACATTTTCTTTAACGTTTAACCGATTTTATCACCATAAAACTAGTCAAAGGACCATAATATCTATATTTAAAATATCGAATTGATTTTTGAAATCAATCTAGTCAAACTATAATAATATTCTCATATAATTAAAGTATTAAAAAATTTCAAAAATTTAAAAACTGAAGAGCATTAAAGTTTTTGAAAAATATCGAAGACAGTCTGCTTATGAATGGAGATAGATACAACCCTTTTCAATGAGAAGTCAAAAATTAACATAATAGTTTTTAAAAGATATATATTTCAGTTTTCTGAATTAAAACAAATATTCGAAGTCAACTGATACTTCCATATATTGGTTTTGAGATTGGCTCCCTATTTAAGACTCCATAATGATTTTTCAAGAATAAGTTTCGGAGCCTAATTCAAATAAAAATATTCACTAAATATAATATATTATATAATATATAATACCAGTATATACTAATGTATAATATTTAATAACTTATTTTATATCTGGCAGTGGTTTTCGCTAACTTTTCTGGCTGTGAGTAAAGAGAAAACATTTTTCTTGATGCTTATATAAAAACATGATAATAAACCATTTAAAATTCTTATCCATACTGTTTTTAAAGAAGATAATCGCCTGAATCTGTACTAAAAGAGGTGTATAATTTTAAGCTAACCATAGAAGTCCCAGATGCTTAATTACCACAGATTATCACAAGAGCAATGTTGAATGTCCTCGATTTTGACACGACCCCGATTTTTTGGCCTCATCTATTTAACAATAGATTTTAGTATTTTGAGTAACTTTTATCACTAGGCTATATAATGTATGAGTAGAATTTAGTTTTTAGATATCAGGTTTTAGTGATTTTTAAACGAAGACCACTAACTAGTTACTTGAGTGCCCGGAAAATCGAAATCTCAACAAATAAAAATGACTTTTTATCAGTCATTTGGTTTGATAAATAACTATAACCTTGAAAGAAGTATATACTCTTATATCTGAGTACTATGTAGTTATAACTATAGGTAGGTATATCATATTAGTGTGGAGTTTGACCCTGTATTAGTGGAAGCAATATACTTTGACAGAAGTAATTCGAAAAAGCGAGGAATTATTTTGAAATAATTTTTTGGTGTTTCATATATTCCCGCAGGTCCACGTTTCGGATT